CCCTTTACAAGGATTGTTGTCATAATAGAGACTTTAGCCATATCTGGCACAATCTCGGATTTCGCGTAGATAGCAAAACCTTTCGGGCATGCCCGATTCAAAATATTTGTTTTAGCGCTTTACCAATAACACATGCTGAATTATACGTGAATAAACACCACTAATATAATACTTGATATTATCGAAAATCAACTTGTAATGAACTGTTTAATTTCTGTCATAATATATAATAATCAATCAATAAAAAAAAGCATATTTATCTCTGTGATCTAACAAATCACTGCAAGTTCTTATATCAGAACTTGCATAGATAATGGAGATATCCAATGCGTTGTTTAAATAAATTTAATATTGCATTTTTTTAAGTGACAGATAAAAAAATCGAAAGAATCATTCGATTGCTTTTAGAAAATACTTTGCATCGAAACGAATTTGCGAGCGCAATAAGAATGAAATAATTGTACCCTATAACAACTATCATTTTCATTCTTGCTATTACGAGCAAAGAACATTGATTTCTCTCCACTTTGTGAAAAATTATATTTATAAGCAATCACTTATTCTCCATTAACTGTCTTCAATTACGATATTATATAATCCATAGAATCAAGGCTTAGCTTTGCCGATTTACTACTGATCATTCGTTTAGAACCATTTCACATATAACAACGAATATTAATGTTATATAATCAATAAGATACGATGCATTGTCGATAACAAATCGGACGGTTCAATGGGCAACTTTGTGATTTATCTTCTAATAGAGGCTTTCAAATCTTGTTTGTGGAAATTTAATATAGTAACGCAAAAAATCACATTATCAAATTATCTCGAGCTCATTATACTTGAACAAAGTAACTATTCTTGCAATTTTATACACAAACTTTTTATTCTAATATTATCAATTGTCTGCATTGCAATCTGTTCTCTGTCAAACAGAATATTTTATTTTTTAACCACAAAACTACAATTACATGCAACAGGCATGATTAAAAGATTCAATAGTCTCATTTTTCATATCCATCTCATATATAGTATGGGTATATTTTCCTTGTCAACCTGTGTAGTAATATCAGAACCGGAAGTAGATAATCCTTTCTATGCCATACAATGACCAAAAAATAAAATAAAATAAAATAACCTAATCACTATCACGTTATTAAATAATAAAACAATAATATTATAGTTATTATAAGTAATTTATAAAAGCTCAGTAATAGTTTTAATGATTTCTCTACTACATCCCAATTTGGCTCATTCTAGCTTTTAAATATAATTAGCCAAATTTGATTAGCCTTCTGATTGATCTTTGCCTATTAATAATTTTGACTTTGACTCACATTTTTCTGTGAAGTCACAATCTTCAGATTTGGAAGATTAACTAGAGAAATCATACATCTTAAAATACTGAGTTTAGGGTCTACATTCCGGCACTGAAGGTTTTTTTTAACTCGATGATGGTCTTTTAACTCGCGCAATCAAGCATTTAAATTAATTCTTTCGAAGCTATGTAAAAGCACATTTAAAATATATTTTGATCATTTGCTTTGACATTATTCAAGTAAAATTTCCTAACAGGGTCTGTATATCCATCACCGAATTAATATCTATATTTACGTACTATAAGTACTACGAGTAGTAAGGAAAATGACTCCAGGATGAATATTTATAATTAAAACCCATTTTCATCCAATAAACTAAATATCAAAATTTGATAAATCTGTCAAGAATGTTAATCAGGCACTTTTTGGAACAAAAATTAATTAATACTCCCTTCTGTAAACTGTCGATATTTTTGTGAAATATAATTATAAGTATCTTTGATTGTTCATGGAAACTCGATGCTAAACAAATGTTCATTCATCAATTTCCATTCAATCTTTTATACATAAAATAAAAAAATTTTTCAAACCATAACACCATGTTGTGCCAACAATTGCTTCCTTTGGTGAAGACTTGGGGATTCCATGGTAATTTCATCATTTCTCACACTATCGAATGACTTGGAAGTTTTGAAATTATTTAGGACATTCAAGCAATTGTTGCTCGTCATTTCGAGGGACTTGGATCTCAGTGACGCGCTAGCTAACTTCTTGATGGTTTCTGAGATAGGATATTTGAAATCCGTTCTCTCTATTTCTCTTTCCTTGATTCTTTGATTATCGTCGACCGCCAATAAGGAATCTTTCTTCTCCACTTTTTTAGATTCTATTTCCTTCTGTTTGTCTATTTTGGGATCTTCATGCTTCATCCTTTGATTTTCGTTCTCGTCAGTTTTTATGTTTCTATGTGCAGTCACAGTTTCCGATTGATTCTTAAACGACTCCAATCGCGAACGATCGCTCTCTTCCTCTTCCTTCCTATCGTCTTGACCTAATAAAGACTTTGGTGGGGCCTCCACGTAACCGCTCTCATCGCTATCGGCTTCCTCGTCGAGAGAATCCAGAGTTAAAAATGAAGTCTCTTCGTTTCGCAGAAATTCACGGCCTGTCCTATCAGGATATTTCTCCTTCGCTCGCCTCTCTCTATTTTGTTGTTCTTCGATCCTGTTCAATATCTCGCCCCTCGGCCGATAATCCACTACGTCATCAAGATCCTCAATATCTTCAAAATCGAACATATTCGAAGCAGTGTCCTCCTCTTCTTCTTCTTCCATCGATTCTTCTTCCTCACTTCTTAGAGGAAACCTCTTCATGGAGTCTACAGGATTAAAACGAGGGCTACCGGCACATGTCATGAAATGAGGCGAGCCTTCCGAATTCCTTCGTGGTCCTAGTCCTTTGTTAACTCGGTTCTCCGAGAAAACGACCCTCTTCATTGATCCCCGCCGATCGTTTTGATCTGGAAAAGTTTTAAAGGTAAGCAAGTTTCAAAGAGAGAAATGACATTATGACTTCATATGTCGCGCACCAACGGTACAACTCGTCAAGCAACTGCCCTTTTCAAACGTATAATCAAATATCAAAATCTCTACCGTTATACGCCCCTTCTAAAAAACTTTAAACTTTTAAAAATAAAAATATGTATACTGATAATGAGCAGAAAGAAAGATTCAATGTTCCGTAAAATGGTATTATATAAATACAGTGCTCGAAAATAAATACGGTATTAGCTATATATTTTTAGCTTATCGACGTTAAGTAAAAGATAAATATTCTCTAGTTCAACTTTCATAATATTAAAGTCGCATACAAAAATTTAATATGCAAGGTTACAATCGTTTATTTTAATTACATATTACAATACAAGATATATGCATAATTTCAAGTCCATTACATCTATGTAACTGCTTTTGCATGATATTTTACAGTATAGAATTTAAAAAAAGAGGCGCATGGAAGAAGAATTATCACTTGCTTTTCGTAATTTTGATAAAGTCTTATTCGACCGTAATAAATTCTGCAAACAATACTAACTTCCTGCGAGGTGTTCCTCTGCACCGATGGCTCTCTCCTCGCTTGTCGCCGTACTGGCGGTTTCGCATCCGCTGGAAATGCTACCGTTTTCGTCAGAGGACTCGCGATTGAGAGCGTCCAACAGCCTGGCTATCCTCCAGCTATCCTGATCCTCCCAACTACGCGCCACGGTTTCCAAGGAACGCAATTCCTCCAGCAGCCTCTGCTGTTCTATCTCCTCGGCTACCGTATCCTCTTCGATCGCTGATAGCTTTGGCGCGCTCTTCGATCTTTCCAAGGGCGGTCGATAGTTCTGGCCACCGGTGCTCAGAAGAAGCTTCCTACGTGGCAAAGACGGATTGTCGTACAACGCGCTTGCCAGAGACAGCCTGTAACAATTTGTTATCATGATAATCGATCTCGTTAATATAAGATGTTGCCGTAATATCGTATTTCTCCCAGCTATGAATTTCGTAATAAACAGAATTAATCCTTTTAGCAATTTTTTTTTTTTATTTAATGGAAGTAGATTTTATTATTCTATATGTTTTTCTCTCGTAATAATTTTGTTAGCCATATGTTACTTTCTGCTGATTCACATATATCTGGAGAAAAATCATATAAATCTCCAACTATTATAAGTTATTAATCGATTAAAATCATAAAATTTAATTTATTAAAATTGTTATATATAATTCATCAACTTATTAAAATGCGCTTTATTTGTTCCTTATATTTTCTTCGATAAAAAAAAAAAAGATTTTTAATGACGCAATGAAAGAAGTAGCGAGCTAATCGTATTAGTGCAATTCCAACAGAAGTATTAATGTTTGACCTATGACTTGGAAACACTGACCCGAATGTACATCGACCGGTGATCACTTCTCGTCCTGGATCGTGACTCGATCACACGTACACATAACGATTTACAATCGTGATCGGAATCGTGATTGTACGGTAGATGCATAAACGTGCGTAACTGCGCGTATTTCTCAGGAGCGAGAGAGAGAGAGAGAGAAAGAGAAGAGAGTAAAGAAAGAAAATTTCTCTTCTCTCTTCAATTAAGTAGTGGAACCTAATTTGTATGGTCGACGATATAACGAATGCGGCATGATAAAAATGCGAAGAATGCGCGCCATTGCCCGATATTGAAATGAGCCTAACGGAAACTCGGAGAATTCTATATTTGGGAAATTATGTCGCGCGATTGATCTGTTCAGTTTTAATTAGAAGCGAAATAGATACATGAATTATAAACATTTAAATTTATATTAATATTAATTATTATTAATTATATTTCATAATATTATAAATTTTATATTAATACGCACATTTTGAAACAGTCCTCAAATAATTAATCGACCAAAAAAAATTGAATAAAAAGTTACACGCCGCACATACATATAAATGGTTCTTAGATAATTGATTGAGAAATAAAAATTTGAAAGAAAATTTTATATATAGTTTTTTTATTTAGCATATCGAGAATACAGACGCGCGTAAATATATTTTGTTATATATGTCTTATTAATTCCCCTCTAATACACTAGTTTTAATTCCCTTTGTAATGTATGTCTTATAAATTCCCCTCTAATACTCTAGTTTTAATTCCCAGTAAATATTGAGCAATATCTCGCAAAATACCGCCGTAACATTTGCTAATTCTCACTCACTGTTTGTAAGCTTAAGATAGTACCCGTTAATTACCACAATCTTGTAAATTCCACCGTGACTCCTTCCACTTATCTCTATCATTTCCGAGAAAGAAATACAAGTTTGATATTAATACTTGATTCGTTAAATCTTTTTGAATAATTAACTGTCAATAATTTAATATTGAAATAACGAAGAATTTCCTCTCAGCTGATGTAATTTGCTGCTAGCAGCACATAATACTGTCACAGTGTCATTCTTACCTGGCATTTTGCCTGGAGACCTTATCTCGGCGAAATTCCAAGAGCGCCTGTTGTAGCCTGGCGTTCAGAATAGAGGCGAGTCTTCTCGCGATGGATTCCTTGCTGCATAGAGCCGCATGGCACCTCAATTCGGGCCTCAATCTGCGACCCTCGTGCCTGTATACCCAGACGAAGAGTCGCGGATGCGAAACTGGGGCCGTGCAGTAAGTCACACGGTGGGCCCAGTACTCGGTGAGACCGTGGTCCTTCGTGGTCGCGGTCAGACCGCCGTTGGTTATCGTCAGTCTCATAGAGACGTCGGGCCTGCTGCTGGTCATATAGTTCCGCCACAAGGTCGATACAGGCTTCTCGACGCAGCCTTCACCTGCGGAAGCATTGAGATTCTTAAACTTCTAGAATTGTTACATGACGCTAGGGTTTTATATTAATATCAAAAGTCGTTTAGAAGTTTTCAATATTTTGTAAAATTTTAACGCAGGATCGTTTGAGTTATTTCGTACAAAAAAATTAAACTATAATGTTTTCTCAAGAGGTTTTTTATAAATAATTTCATATTACTAGTTCAAAGAGTACAATCGAAAATGTCATACGGAATTGTCGGTTCAACAAAAATATGTATGTCATTTTAGGACTTATCACCTAGGTATGTACGATATACGCGCACGCCTGTGTGCAGCTATGTATTACGACATTTTTGTCGCGATTGAACATACGGATGAGATAGAGCTTCGCGTTTCATGTTCTCCGCGGTATATTCTGACTTTCGATACAGTTCGATTCGCCGCTACGCGCCGATTTGGATCGCGTTACCAATTTAGAGATACAGGAAACGCAAGTACAGTTACTTAGCAGAGTTCGAAAGCGAGCTGAGCCGACAGGCGAAATAGGAAGGGAGAAATAAAGAAAGAAAGAGAGAGAGAGGGGGAGGGAGGGAGGGAGGGAAGCAGGGAGAAAGGTGCCGGCAAGAAAAAATAAAAAGGAGAGAGACGGCGATGTGAGATAGGTACGCAATGCTGGAGTCCTTGCAAGAAAAAAAAAACAAAAAAGACAAAAAAACAAAAAAAAACCGCGATTCCTCGTGCAAATCTAAAAGCGGTTCTCGTTTATCGATGTAAATGTAAACGATCCAGTATTTATACTCTAATTAGCACGGCAGTGATAAATTTAAATCTAGTCCAAGCGGGTAAACATGATTTTGAAAAATTTTTTTCATCGCGTTCAAGGAAGATTTCATCCTTGCCAATCTTTTTCGACACAATCCGATACATATATGACACCATAAAGTTCTTGATAATTATAAATATAAGAGGTAAACTATAATTTATTTGCCAGTGAATAAATTAATTCGATTAATAATTGCGAACGCTTATACGGATCCTATCTCTGACAATGCGTCACATCGGACGAATTGCCTTGCCGGTCAAGATCGATAATCGTAACACAATTGACGACAAAGCGGCGATTTTCTGAAGCAACAAAAAATTCCTTGGCATTTTATGCAACGTCTTAGATCAGTGTTATGCAAATAGCGTGCTACGCGCGTAATTTCTCAACGTCACCGGCTGCTTTTAATTTATATACAGAATGCTTGATAACGACAGGCTTGATGGCTTGATAACGACTTTGAAAAAATACGGATAGGAAACAAGACATGTAAGATGATTAAAAGCAATACTTATGCAATTAATTAAGAAATATAAACAAACTTTAACTAATTGGTTAAAAATTTATCACAAATATAAAAAATGTATTCTAGTCTTACTACCGTTTCATAAATATTCCATAGAGATGACTTCCATCAATTTATTTTAAGCTTAAAGAAAGCAGCATTATCGAAAATTATTTATTCTGTAAATTTTACATTAATCATCTATTAAATGATTAATGTAAAATATGTTAATTGCGTCTGAGTTAAAACATTGATGCTATAATAAGATAATGTTATTTTGCGGTTATTTAAAATTGTTAAATAGAAAAAAACATAATATATCTCTAAAATCTTTTGCATGCATAATTAAACAATTATAAAAAAAATGTGCGCACGCAAAAAATGATATAATCATATAATATAAGATATAATTATATATATAAGAAAAAGCACATTTATATAAATAAAACTAGCTAAGAAATATTGTTCATAAATTTTTAATCATAGCATATTTATAATTCAGCAAATACAATTGATTGCTATTAATGCAATAAGCACTCTCTAGACTCTAGACAATGAATAAAAAAAGGAGTGTATCATATCAATGCTTTGCACGAGACCGATATAGAGGAATGACATGGAATTTTGCTCGTGCGTGTTTATTAAATTCCGTGTGCTTGTCCAAGAAAGACCCTGTGATCAGAAGCAGATGACTAAGGCGTGCGTATTCACTTTAGCAGCATTTAAACGATGCGTTTGCGTCTTCGAAGCGACGCGATAGATTGGACATTGGTCGAAGAGACGAGATATCTCTTTGAATCCGACGAATTATTATTATTCTGAAAAAGATACGGTTCGCCTCTGTCATGCGATTTCGCAAATCGTCCGTGATACCTACGCGGATCTTCAAGCGAATCCACGCTACTTATTGAAGGAGATAATCGCGCGAGTTCGTCCTCGTTTCTTTTTTCGTTTCCATCTTCCTGCGCGGGATGTAAATATTAAGACGTGAGCCATACAAACCTAATGCTTTTCTCGCGTTTATTAGCGCTAAGTGATCGTAACGTGATTCCACTTACTGAATATCTCGGAAAAAAAAAAGATAAGCCGTATCTGTCATTTCAAATGAACGTCGAGAGAAAGCATGCATGTCTATGCAAATCGAGATCTGCGCTCGGCAATCGAGCTGTGACCGACTACCCGGAAAAAAAGGGGCATGAAATCGAATGCAAATGAACCGCGGATAACAATGATGGTTCTGTGCATGCCTGGCTAATTTGCGTATAGGAAGCCTCATACATTCTCAGTGGAACAACATTTTATTCCGAGCGTGTCCGGAGAAAGTGCGCGCGCGGGGAGATCCGATAAAAGCGATCCCTCGCTGCAGGTGAAACGCCAGCGTCCATTGGCGTGCCGAGAAATGTTTTTCGATTGCAACATTGTTTTGAAAAAATGAAAGGCTTCACGGATGAAGGAGCAAAATGAGAAGAGAAGAAAATCCTTGAAGAAATTCTCGATCTCTTTATTCAATTCTATGTGGATTTTATTTCAAAAGTAACTTGTAACATACACATTGTTGAGAACTGATTAATATTTTTATTTAACGAACATCTTTTAAATCCCAACAAATAATTTTGAGGGTCATATAAGTTGCCCGCTTGTAATATAAACGAGTATATCCTGTAAATCTGTTAAAACAAACTAGCGAAAATCCGTATTCCATGACGAGTCAAGCGCGAATATTGCGATCGAATTATTGCGAACGGAAAAGCAGGCGGTCTGGAACGACGCGGAACAGGAAGCGATGGCGAGGAGGGTACCAAGAGATTGTCACCGCCAAACTATAACGTTAACACGTTAGATGCTCGATATTGAAGGTAATGCTGTGACCGACCGTTAATTTTTCCTCCGTTAACTGCTGCCATGCGTATCGGCTCTCATGCATTTTGTCCGGATTTCGCGAAAATTCGCGCATCGCAGAACGCCACGAAACTTTCCACGAGAAAATAACATTGGCATCGCATGACGAGACCGAATGTCGCGTGCAGTCAGACGATGAATAACGTTACATAGATGTAGGGTAAACGGTGCAATAATAACGGAGCCCCCTTTTAAACGAAGTAAATCATTCCTTAGAAACTCTAACACTCTTGAGCAAATAATTTTCATATATCACTTCTACGTTTAATTACTCAATGAATTATATATCTTTGCACTATGCATATTTTTTTCCATACATTTAATTTTGGTTTATAAATACCGATCTAGAAATAAATATTTCAGTATTTCCTATTTATAATTTGGATATTATCAATGCTCGAAATGTCTATTAAAATTAATACTACGTTTTAAATATTTTATTCATTTGGAAAAAAAAAAAACACAAGAGAAGATATTTCTCACGGAGAGAAATATTGTTATAACCAATAATAATGATAAATAGTCCTGTATGTGCGCGAATATATCATTTTCAAAAAACGCGTATCAATCATTTTGTAATAAAAAGAGGAAATATATTTTCAATAGAAAATAATTATATAATTGTATAATAAGCATACCATTCTTATATAATGCGCAATATAAAACTGTGCAAGAATATATTACAATTATTACGATAATTCAGTAATAATAGGAAAATAGTCTTGGAATGATTTATTAGTTTGTGTCACTCTATTTAAGATGCAAGCGGAGTCTCTTATATAATTACACAATACGAAATGCTCTAGAAGCTTATCCGGGAGGAAGTTTCAAAAATATAATAATTTAACGACACACACACATATATAGCAAAACTTCAAAGTTTATAACTTTAGCGTGACTGCGCGCCACATTTTCCTTTCATTGATGTTTTTCATTTCATCGCCGACGTTTATCGCAACCTTTTTACGAGCACTTCCTGACTTTTGCGGTTTTCACAAAATTGCTTGTTTTTGGACATAATTTTAAATTAAAAAGCAGTTGCAACGTGTTATATTTATGAACTTTGCATAATTTTTCTTTATATAAGCTAAAGCTTATCTATATATGGAAGGAAGTAATATTCTAATAATTCCTGTAGTTATATAAAAATATAGCGTTTCATATATATATAGTATAAATCTTATATAAACATCAAATTAGTATGTAAATTCATATAATAAAAAAGAAGTATGATAAATTATATATTTGCATTTGCTACTTTATTTATTAAATCATGATAAATATCAATACGAAAGATGTATCAAGTGCCCTTTTATATGCAAATACATAAATGTATTTATGCGAAATATAAATATGACAAAGAAATTATAAAGTTAAATTATTATTTTCGAAGTAAAATACATAATTTCAAAATACTTGCTACAGATTTTCAGGATCAAATACTTTTATCTTCACAAATATAATAGTTTTTAAACTATTTATATATAATATATAATGCACTGGTTTCACGCAGAGCTATCATATTTATTGAAATTTCTTTTCATAAATTAAGACACCATTAAAATAAAGTCTACTTGAAATTAAATAAAAGTTACGATTTTATTTCTATTTATAGATTCAAAACTTAATTTACGAGATTTAAATTTCAGTGCAAATTTACTTTGGCTGATGTAACGATCGAGTTCACACTGTGTAATACTCTCAGTCAACGGCAAACAATAAAAGCGAACAAAAGATTCCTATGTGAGACTCGCTAACTAATATGCTGTTAACTTCACAGAAATGAATAAGTGGAT